TCCTTAATGCATCACTGCTTTTTGAAGGAATGGACTCATAAATAGTTGATACTAAACTATCTAGCTAATTTTAGATATGTTTGTAGGAGATGACACCACATTCACATTTAAAAAAGGAGTTGTACTAATGGTCACTAGTTACTACCTGTAAAGGATATCATATGTAGGAAATGTCTACAATGAGAGCTTCTTCTTTTGGGGCAGTCCTGTCACACAACCCTGCTATCAAATGTCAACAATAGCCGAGGTGTGGTGTTCCTCTGCTTAAAGTCCAATTTTTTTTGACAGACTTAGAGCAGGGGTACGACAACCTCAGCCACCCTTGTTGAATCTGATGGTTGGGTATGGTGTGGCTGGTGCATGTTGGATGAATGCTGTCATTGTATTTGCTCCCTTACATGCAGTTGCGTGTGTACACTCAAAATAAAATTCTTACCTGCATGCATATGGCTTTTGGCCTCTCAATTTAACTTCAATATGCTTTGGCTTTGCATTGTTTATCAATAATTTTTTATCCAACTGGAACATAGTACTGTACATGATTTGAAAAATATGGTTTTTATGTAGAGACCCTCAAAGTAATGCTTTTGTGTGGTTCTGATCTACTTGAGTCTTTTGGCATTCCTGGAGCATGGATTCGTGATCAGGTATGTTTCTTCATTTTACAGCCCTTCAATTATAGGATACGTTGTCATTGTTCCATCTCTCTAGTTCATGGATTCATGATCAGGTATGTTTCTTCATTTTACAACACGTCAATTATTAAATATGTTAATCATTGTTCCATCTCTCTAGTTTTTCAACTGAACAGCATGTCGTTATTTTAAGATTGTTACTTATGGGTTCTCTATTGTGGTACTTTTTCAGCATATGGAAAGGTCGGGCTGACCTTGTCAAATTCGTATTTGAGCCTTCTTTTGTTTAGTTGGGGAAATGAAACCTTTGTGCTTTGTCCTCTGGATACTTAAAGATTTATAAAAATAATAAAAAACAATGAGACTAGAGATGGAGTAAACACAAAGTTAGAATTTTGGAGGGATGTTTTGGAATATAAAGATTTTAAAATTAGCCGGACTAAGATAAAATATATGGAATGTAAGTTTAGTAACAATAGGTGCTGAAACAAGGAGAATGGTGGACCGGGATTCGAATAGCTGACCCCAATTAGTTGGGAAAAGGCTTTGATGATGATGATGATGATGATGATGATAATGATGAGCAGAAACGAGGAATTAGTTAAGATTGATGATCAAGAAGTACCTAAAAGAGATATATTCAACTTGTGTCGATAATCCATGATAAAGGAGAGATTGAGGAAGATGTTGCTCATAGATTAAGAGCTGGCTGGACGAAGTGGAGATGTGCTTTTGGAGTCTTATGTATTTGTTGGATGTCAATGAAACTGAGGGAGAATTTCTATAGGATGGCTGTAAGATTAGCCATGCTTTGTGGGATAGAATGTTGGGCGGTCAAGAAACAACATATATCCATAAAATTAGTGTAGGATGAGGATGTTGAGATGGATGAGTAGCGAGACAAGAAAGGATAGAATTCAGAATGAATACAATTGAGGGAATTAGGGGGTAGCTCCAACAGGCGATAAGAGGAGGGAAAGTTGACTTAGGTAGGCTGGCCATGTTCAGTATCGACATGGAAGACACCAGTTAGGAGGAAGATTTGGTTGTGGAAGGCTCTAAAAGGAAAAAAGGAGGTCCAAAAGGATATGGACGGAAGTAGTGAGAAGAAATATGGCGCCTTATGGGCTGATTGAGGGAATAACCCTTGATAGAGCGGATTGGTGGAACATGAGTCATGTAGTCAACCCCAAATAGTTGAGATGAGGCTTGGATGATGATGATGATAGAAAAATAGAAAAACATTAAGAACTTAACAAAAAAGGAGAAACTTGAAAATTAAACATTATAACAAGATTTGTTGGGTCAATCCTCTAGAACTAGCTATCTTTTGAAGAAAATCATTTGAACCCTTAATTTACTTGAAAAGGGATCTTTCTTGAACTGTTTAGGTTGAAATTGCGGTTGCTCTGTGCATTGAGTTGGTTTTGTGAGTTGTTTTTGTGGTTGCTCTGTGCATAGAGCTCTGTGAAAAAAATAAAATAAAAAAACTTGAATATTGTAAGTTTTTTTTTTCAACCTAGGGTTTGGCCAGAGTTGGTTTCTTACAAAAGTGCAATCCTGAAATTTCTTCCCTGAGCATATTTTCAAAATCTCAAGTTTTCAAGATTTTGAGTAATGAAATACTATTTTCAAGTGCTTGGTCAAACAAAATAAACCTTCTATCTTTATGTATGTATATATGTATGTATCTATGTGTGTATGTATATATGTTTATTTGCATGTGTATGTATATATGTGTATGTGTCTGAATGTATGTGTTTATGTACATTTGTGCGAATGTATGAATGGGTGTATGTGTGTATGTATGTGTGAATGTTTATTGTATGTGTGTGTGAATGGGTGTATGTATGTATCGGTGTATGTATGTGTGTGTACATGTACCTGTGTATGTGTGTGTATATGTATGTATATATGTATCTGTATATGTATGTATGTATGTGTGTGTATATGTATGTATATATGTATCTGTATATGTATGTATGTATGTGTGTATGTATATATGTATGTGTGTATGTATGGCGGTTCTTAAGTATATACATATCTGTATATATGTGTGTGTGTGTGTGTGTGTATGTATGCCAATTTGACTTGCTCTGGGCACACATCGAGTCCTGGAATGACTCTTACACTGGTGGAAAATGATGAAATAATAGAACTCATAGACATGGCTTGAAAGGTTACAAGTAATGGATGAAATTTCTCTCAATATTTTACCTTTCCAGGTCAGAACGATATGCCGAGATTATGGAGTTGTGTCTATTCGTAGAGAAGGGCAAGACATCGATAAGATCATTGATGGGGATGACATTTTGTTCGAAAATAAGGTGATGTTTAGTTAGTTTGTTTTGTTTAGTTTATCCCGATTTCAGGGCCTTCTTTCAAAATGATGCTGCTGTTCCTCGTGAAAATTTGTTTTGGCTTTTTCTTGTACCAGAATAACGTTATAGTCGTGGATGAACTGATTCCAAATAAGATTAGCTCGACAAGAGTAAGGTAAATGGCTTGCTAAGAACAAAGACATACACATGCATAGAGAGAGTGAGAGGCTCCGGATTTTGATTTACAGGAAGTTGATTGGATCTTGGATGCATTTGTCGTTTAACTCTACACTTAATACTTATGGACTGGAACTAGATTTATTTTAAATTTTTTTTATCATAAAAATACAATTCAAATACTAGCACTTTGAAGACTTTTCTCCCCTTAGCCTGAGCTCACAAGACTGATGTTTTCTTTTATGTTTTTCTTGGGTTTGCAGGGAGATCATAAAAAGAAGGTTCTCTCTCAAGTATTTGACAGCAGATGGAGTTATCGATTACATTGATCAGCACCAGCTCTACCGGAATGAGGATGAATTGAATTCATGAATAGTTTTTGGTGTGGGTGTTTTATCTTATTTAAACCAATATATTGGTTGGAGCTCACAGGAGATGGTTTTGTCATTGAAGTCAATTTATCTGTATTTGTCATCTTTCTTCAACTCTGGACCTTCATGGTAGTTTGACGGTCCATATTGCTTCATCATATTGAATGTTAATTTGCGCCTGTTGAGATCTCTCAATCTCACACACACATTTAAAATCTATATGGCTAAGGGCGTTTGCCCTTTTCCATCTCTTTTCAAAGTGGTTCATATTAGTTGCCTTTATGCATTGCTGTGTCGCATATTTCCCCTTATGTGAATTTGTGAAATACACGTTCGAGTCACCCAGCTTGGGATTCTCCCTGTAAATAGACGAAGGTAAAGTGGTTCATAGAGTCCAACTGCCAAGAGACATTTTTGAGGCCCCATTGGACATGATAATAGTCATAGCAAAGAAATACCCCAGCTTCACTTTGTAAGCATCCGAAAAAATTGTGGTCAGATCCCTGGAAATCTTTTTCTAGAAATGTTTTTATTTATTTATTTATGTGGAGATGGCATATTTTGGGTATTTGGATCGAAATTTTGAGACAAAGCATCCTCCTTCCAAGTCAAAAGAAAAGGAATATGTATCCCTACCTTTACTCTAAAAAATTGTTTCCCGGCTAGATTTCGTTGTTATGGTGCCGTCTATTGTATAAAATATGATTACTTCTGCGAAACCACCACCTCGAACTAGGGAGAGGAAGTATCGCAAATTTTAAGTTTACAAGATCTTGAAATTTTAGAGAAACTGTATTTAATTTTAGTGAGAAATTATCTCAAATTTTAAAGAGAAATTATGTCGATTTTAAGTTTTATAAAGAGTATTTTAAAATATTAAAGAAAGATTATATCAAAATTTAGAGAGAAAATACCTTAAAAAATTTTAAAGTCTCAAAATTTTTAGAGAAAGAAACTATTTCAAATTTTAGGTTTTAGAGAGAAAGTAACTCGATATTTTCAAAAAAAAAATTATCATATATTTAGAGAGAAACTATCTCAAAGTTTAAGTTTTAGGGAGAGATTATCTCAAAAATTTTCGAAAAATAAATTATCTCAAATTTTAAGTGAGAGAAACAATCTCAAATTTTATGTTTTTGAGATAAATTATCTTAAATTTTTTTTAAAAACAAAATTATATCAAATTTTAGATAGAGAAACTATCTCAAATTTTAAGTTTAACATAAACTATCTCAAAAATTTTAGAGAGAAATTTTTTTAAATTTGAAGTTTTAAAGAGAGGAAGTGCTTGAAAACTTTTTTAAAAAGAAACTATCTCAAAATTTAAGTTTTAGAGAGAAGTTATTTTAAAATTTTAAAAAGATCTATATCAAATCTAGAGATAACTATATTAGATTTTAAGTTTTAGAGAGAAAATTTTTCACAATTTTTATAGAGAGAAACTATCTCACAGGTTTTACAGCGACAAACTATCACAAATTTTAAATTTTTAAAAGAGAAAGTACGTGCAAAATTTTAGAGAGAAACTATCTCGAAATTTTTAGTGCGAGAAAGTACCTTAAAATTTTTAGAGAGAGAAATTATTTTAAATTTTTTAGAGAGTATAAAATTTAAGTTGTTGAGAGAGAGTATCTTAAAGATTTAGAGAAAGAAACTATATCAAATTTGAGAGAGAGAAGCTACTTGAAAAAGTTTAGATATAGAAACTATCTTTAAAAATTTTATAGAGAGAAATTATCTTAAATTTAACAAAAAAATACATTATAATAAATAATAAAAATCAAAGCATTTAACGAAAAAAAGTAAAAGAAAAAAGTCATGAAAATGTCATGCATCCATGTACCATCCAAATAGTAGAAATCTATTTTACTATAAATGTTTCTCTTAATAAATATATTTCATACGAAATAGATTTTACGAGACAATGTACTTCCAGGTATCCAAATAACGAATAGAGGAAAATAGTTAATTTTACGGTAGCCTAATTGGAGTTTCCACTGAGTAAACTAAGCCCCCCCTTAAAAAGTTGCTAAGGTGGAACACCTGTTGCTCTTAAATGGCTGTACTAAATGAATTTATTTTTTAATGGAAAAAATAAGGCCCAAGGCTAAGAAGGATATGAAGTGTTTGAACTACAGTACATGTAGTTTTTATATCAATGAATGGAAAGCTGATTTTCCAAGTTGTGCCCTTTTCGCTAAGAGGACAGATTCTTATTAGTTAGAGATTGTCTATAAAGTGAATATCTTTTGTACATGGATGTTACAATTATTTTCCTTTATTAGATGTCAAATTAGATGGTTTGGGGTGAGTTATCAAGTCTGACAAATTTTTTTTTTTTGAAACTTCATGTCTATTCAATGATATTCTTACAACCACTTATTTTGAAATTTAAAACTCCATATACAAAAGATAAATGGTCTCTTTGTAAACAATCCCTATTAGTTAACCTTAATGAAATTTAACAAAAAGTTTGTGTTTGCTATATTTGTATTTGTTTGTACGGGAACCACGGATCATGCATCATTGAAGCCTACGAAGTGGATTGTATTGCTCATGGCCTTTTTTATTCCTTTCCACATAAAATCTAGGGATATTGTGATCCATACGATCATAGAAATTTAGGTAACAATGTTTACTACCGTTCAATCCTTGGATTGATGTTGGAATTAAAGCGAGACCGACTACTAGAGCATGTGACATGTTCTGGAGGCCTCCCCACAGCCTCCATCACCATCCAGCCATTGATTGGACAATGATGCCAATAGTGAACATAGGTCTTCTACAGTCATGTGGATCATAGTATGTAATTCCTTGATAAAAAGAGAATATTGTAAATAAAATGCACTCCAACTAATGGCAAGCTACCTTAGGCACTGTATGGAATGATGCATTTCATGTACAATTGCATGTCATGCACAAAAACACTTCCTGTAGAATCTTTAAAGAAATAAATTCTGAGCTTATCTGGCTGAGAATTGAAAAGAAAATCTAGTGAACCAAAATATTCTTAGAAAGATCTAAAACTGTGCCCTATAGTTCTATGTTTTCTTAAGTAAGATTTATTTCCTTTAGCTGTCACAAAAGATTGTTTGTTCTAAAAATGTCGAATGCTCCTAGGTTCTATTTGTACGCCTGTTAATCGCTTCTTTTGTTGGGATCCAAACCTTAGATTGCAGTGTTGCGACGGAATTGACGCCTTTACTGCTAAGCAGAGAGGCCAAAACGCCAAATTAACTGTCGACGACTATACTGGAAAAGATTTGCATATGAAACACAATGAGCTTGGTGTCGAGTTTTCTAGAAGCTTAGAATTGTTATAAAGATGAGAACATAATTCCACATTCAAAGTGGGGAGGCTTTTATTTGATGAAGCTCCGACCCTACAACTACACCTAATGTTGGAATTTTTCCAATAATGGAGAGGTATAATCCCTTTCAAGTGGATTTTTGATCACTTCAGGCAATTTGGGAGGGAATTATAACCATATATGTACAAGCAACAACTTACATATTTTGAGTTGGTGGAATCACAGTCCAACTCACAATAGACCACTGTTCACATTGGTTTGGACACAAGGGGTCCGAGCGGACAATGTGTCACTTTTTCATTAGGGAAATTCCACAATGAACTTGTTGATTCATTCGGATGCCAGTTTATGCACCATTATCGGATTTTGCAGTACATACAGTGTAACAACCCCTGCTGGGGAAGCCTACATGTGTCCCTTTTTCGTTCTTCTTTGAAACTAGGATCATCACTCACTTCATTCAACGTTCTTCTCATTATATGAATAGTTTGTTGTGCTCTGATATACTTGTTGTGCGCAGAAGCTCTAACGCCGATGGGTTAATATTTGGCAAATAAAGTATAAGAAGTAAATTATGAAATACATACAACAAGAACACAAATATTTATATGGTTCACGTCAGAAGGGCTATATCCACGGGCATGACAAATTTAAATCTACGAAAGTTACATCAAAGATTTTGGAACAAATCTCAACCAACTCACAGTCGAGCAAACCCTTTTAAACCTGCTCTCCCAAACAGCAGCATGCCGATTCTCTCGTCTCTATTCCATAACTAGACCACTGTCTAAGAAGATAACAACTTTGAGAGCAAACGCGACTTTATCTCATTAAAAAGAAAACAACGTAAAATCTCCATGGGAATCACTTCTCTACAAGAAACCAACCTCTCACTTTGTATAAGTCTTCAGGAGGAAATTGCATCTTATGCACAAGACGCTCTATCACCCTCTCCTTCTCTGGAGGAACCACCATTCCCATATGGTGACCCATTTAAGGCACACCAATTCTCTACACTTTCATCTCATATATATAAAGATTAGCAATCCATAGTAAATATGAAACTTCTTATAGATCTTGCATATATTTTAAAAGATCAAGAGATATATCCAAGATTCCTAATCTTTTTGGATTTCTATGTCTTTAAGAAAACTTATCAATATCAATCTCAATCCCACACAATATGGATTAATCTCAAACAATCCCACAAAATATAGGATTTCTTTATGTAGGTGATTTTGGATAACACCAAATCCAACATTGTTGTCCCTTTAAATCTTGTTTGGTTAAAGGGTTTTTGTCTTTATCTTTCTTAAAATGTCCACAAGTGATAAAATATTTTTCAAAAGGATCGATATATAAAAGAAAAGTATACAAAGGGACTTTTTACTAAGTAAAAAGATGTCACGATCACTCTTATTCGTCAAATTTCAAATTAGGTGGTAGTGAATCTGCCATTGACTAGACTCAAAGTTTTTTTTTTTTTCTTGAACTTTGTGGCACTCTCCAAGCCATCCAATTTGGCATCTAATGGTTAGTAGTAATCATTGACTCCTTGTAACAAAGATAAAGATCTCATAGTATTCAATCCCATACATAAAATTGCAATTTCATTTTATTCTTTAAATCTAATATTTAAAAGATGAGATCTTTAATTCAAATGAGAGAGAGAGAGGCACTTAGGTTAGGTCTAGGCTATAAGTGAAAAGCCCGACCAGGCCTGAATTTGAATTACTTTCTTTACTTGGCCTGGCCCGAGGCCCAAAAATGGGCTGCATACTTAGCCCAACCCAAAAGCCTGAAGCCCAACCTAGATCATTGGCCATCAGATACACAAACACACATACATGCACACACTAAGGGGAATCACACATTTTTTAGGGAAGTACAAAGATTGAGATACAAGAATGCATACATGCAGTCCGTGGGAGTTTTATCCGTCATCAATTATATGTGAAGTGTGGTTTGATGCGGGACCACATATTTTGCCATTCCCACCATTCCTTATATCCTCGCACTTTCTGCAACCGGTCTGCACTCTCGAGGTGAAAAGGAAGCAGCTTTAATGTCGAACAAATCAAGGTAATCGATGTAAGATAGATCCAAGTGCCTAAGGTTTATTAATTCTCCCAATGTCAGAGTTAGCTCCTTCATGTGAATGCACCCTCGAAGATCCAAAAGTTGGACTTGTATCTCTTTAAGTTCAAGGCAACTTTTTAAAAGAAGAACGTGGAGGATCATTAAGTTTGATAGGGAATGAGGAAGGGATTCAATCCTAGTCCTAGAGAGATCGAGCTCGCGGAGAGAAGAATGCATGCATTCGAAGAAATGAAATTGAGGGATGGCTTTCAGGGATTCATCATCTCTGAGCATTAGGCTGCGAAGTTTGGGGCACTCTGGCAACTGAGGGAGTTCTTCAAGATTGTTTCTCATCAATGAGAGTCTGTCTGCTTCTTGTCATTAGGTAGCTTCAGAGTCCGATACCCGATTTTACTATGAAGTTAGGAAAGTGCACTGATTAAGAGGAAGTGATCCATATTGCCAATGTTCGCCTCATATCATGCATTTTCACAGTTTTATAGTGTGACCCTTATTACGAGGGGCATGGAAAGTACCAAGCCTATCTACTAAACCTTTTGCGCAATGTTTTAGTAGGCATTCTTCATGTATTGATGAGTTTCCATTAAAGAGCAATGAAAGCAGTACTAAGGTGATATAGTATGATGTGCACCTGTCTTTTTTTAAGTTGAAATAATTGTAAAGGACCATTGTAAGTTTTCTAGTCGATACAAAAAAAAAAAAAAAAAAATAGCGTATTATACTAGATCACCCTAGTATTACTTTTATTGGTATCAAAGCAAGTTTTCTAGCTATTTATAGGTTTTTTTTTTTCTATTTATTTTGGGAAAAAGAGAATAATGGTTGCACGTACTTTCATCTTTGAAATCCTTAAAACCGAAAGGTTTGACGGAACTAATTATGCCTCACGGAAGCACAAAATAACATATGTCCTCTATGAGGAAGGTTTGGATGGTGTACTAGCTGAAGATCGCCGCTACCACTTGAGGTCTAATTCATCTCAACAAACTAAAGATAAATATGCTTCTTGGAAGCACAAAGATGAGTGTGCTAGGAATATCATCATATGCTCTCAATGATTGACTCATACGTATTTGAGTATGAGTTAATAAAGACCGCGAAAGGAATGCACAGAGGCTCGAGAAAGAATATGCGGATACAACTGTGATGAGGCAGGCTATGGCCATGAAGAAATATAACGAGTGGAAGATGAACAAGGGAGCAAAGATATCTGATCATGTGCATGTTTTCCGTGCTCTAGTTCGAGAGATGGAGGCAACTGGCATGCGATCAATAGAACCAATGCAGGTGGTTCACTTGATGAACTCATTGCCGAATTCATGGGAGTCATTCGTCACTTCACTTTCAACCCCGCAAACTGCTCTAAAGCTTGAGGAGCTCATCATTCTACTCATAGGGGAGGAATAAAGAAGGGCTGCACGTAAAGCACCAGTTCAAGTGGTAAAATCTAAACTGTTTTCAAATTTAATAAAGGGAAGAAGATGAACAAGAATAAGAAGCGATGAGATGAAAAGAATAAATGGAGAGAACCTAAGGGAAGAAAAGAAACTAGAACTTGTTATATATGCAAAAAGGTATGTCACATAGCAAAATTTTATTGGTTCAACAAAAATACTGGAATAAAAAAGAAGTTGTTTTTGTGGTATTTGAGTCATTGTTAGCCGACCCCAATGGGACGTCTTGGTGTCTTGACTCGGGACCTATGACTCATGTCACAAATACCAAATAGAGCTTCCGCACTTTCACTCCCGTAAAGCCAGGCGAGCAACACATATACATGGGAGGACATTAAAAAACTGAGGTTCTAGGAGTTGGCACCTATGCGCTCAAATGAAAAATGAAAAAATTATAATCCTAAAACAATTACTTTATGCTCCTGAAATGAAGAAGCACTTGGTTTCGGTTTCCAGAATTGCTAAGGCCGGTTTTATCACTACTTTCTATGGTGATTGTGAAAGACCGTGGTGATGTAATTATGTCCGGTCAACTAGTGAATGCCCTTACTCTATGGAAATGAATCTTCAAAATTATAAAGGTGACCTTTCAAAAGTGTGTGAATCGCGTGTGCAGGGAAAGTTAACAAGGAAAATTTCTATCGAGGCAAAAATAGCTTCTAACCTAGAAGAAATTATTAATAGTGATATATGTGGATCCATGAATGTAGCTATCAAAAGTCAGAAAATGTATTTCATTGCCTTCATTGATGACCACTTGTGATATGGGCATATATACCTAATACATACAAAATTCGAAGCCTTAAAAAAATTCAAGGAATACAAAGCTGAGGTAGAAAACCAAACCAACTTGAAAATTAAAGTTCTAAGAACTGATAGAGGTGGAGAATACTCCTTTGATCTCTTTAGGGACCTGTGTGTAGAGCATGACATCATTCACCAATACATCATGCCCTACGCATCAGAGTAAAATGGAGTTGTCGAGAGACGGAATATGACCTTATGGAAATGGTGAGAAGTATGATGGGGCATGAAAAGCCCTCTCTAGATTTATGGGGAGAAGCAGTATTAACAACAAGGTATATTCTGAGCCGAATTCCCACCAAAGCAACTCTTCTTACTCCTCATGAGATGGTCACTGGTTGTGCTCCGTCCCTCGATCACCTAAGAGTATGGGGATGCTCTGCCTATGTTCTAATCCTTCACTAAAATAGAATAAAACTAGATCCCAAAATTATCAAGATTTTATTTATTGGCTGCCCTGACCATGGTAAGGCCATCGATTCTACAACCTCCAGAATGAAGCGGTTATTGAGAGCTACAATGCCCATTTATTTGAGGATGAGTTCCTTAAAGCAAGAGTTAGTCACAAACAAGCGATCTCTTTGAGGAGGCCATTGACGTAGAAGAAGCGAACTAGATCTCGAACCTGAACCCCAACTTAGAAGAAGCGACCTAGTCTCAAGACCTCCTATGTACCTTGAAAAGTTTGTATACTTAGGGGGAATACTATAAAAGAGTTAGGAACTTCCTACTATCTCTCTATTGGGCACACCCCAATCTAGGCTCTATTCTTCTCTCTCCTAAATATTCTCTCTCTCATAAAATAAGTTCTTTTTCTCTCTCCTAAATATTCTCCCTGAGTTGTAAGGGGTGGCACGCCCCCACCTAGGTAATCTTTTGATCCCACGCACGAGGAGACCCCGCTCACATAAATTAAGTTGTAAGGGTTGGCACGCCTCACCTAAGTAATTTTTTGATCCCATGCACCATTGGAGGAGATTTCCCTCTCATAAATTAGGTTGTAAGGGGTGGCACACCCCACCTAGTTAAGCTTTTGATCTCGTACCATTACTTTTGATCCCACACACTATTGGAGGAGGAGACCTGTCAAAGACCGGTTGAGGTAATTTTTTAGCAATTTTTAGGGGGTACACTCCACTTAATCCTACACACCATTGGAGGAGGAGACTCGGTGTGGGATGTTTCAAAGACCGGTTGAAGTAATCTTTTGACAATTTTTATTTATGAAGTTTATAATTTTTCAGTTTTGTTTTCCTCTTCTCTTTATTTAATAAAATTGATTGTTCTTAGTGGTAGCAAGTGATGGCCGTCTTATTTATTTTATTTATTTCTTTTGAATTAAAATAATTATAAAAAATTATTGTAAGTGTTTTAGTCGGTGAAAAACATAAAAAAAAAAAAAATGCCCACCGTACTAGATCACCCTAGTCCTACTTTTAAGCAAGGCAAAGAGAAAGACTTAAGAATATTATCTAATTTGTCATAACTAAACTTCAAAAGGATAAATACATCTCAACCATACCGCATAAATTTGAAGCAGACTGCTTGATTCGGATATGGCGTCCTCCCACTATTCCACTTGTATTTTTGTTGGCCATAGCCTGTATAACTGCGATAATAGCAAGAGGTAAACCATCACATTGTTTTAGAATGATTTTGGCATGGGGTTTTTTTGATGCAGAGGTGATATGGGAACCCGCTTACTCCATGCTTCTGGCTCTGGTAATTTCTTTACTTCAATGCTTATGTTGGCCTCCATATTCTTAACAGTTGGGCAGGGAATTCCTATTTCTTTCGGTTCCAATCTCTTCCACACATCATCCAAAATCAGCAAATACCTATTAGTTCTTAGAATCTTCAACAGCTCATCTTTCACCTTCTCAATATTCACCATGGACAAATTGAGGCCCAAAACCTCTGCATGCATCCCATATTTGGATTAAGAGACACTTTAACCCATATCACAATGTCAAAACTAGAATTAGATTAGAGCTGATTATGAACATTTTCAATTAGAGCCGTCTTCCAGATCCCCCCCATACCATACACACCAATAACCTGATTCTTTTCATCATTTATGCAATCAAGAACCTTTTGCGTAATTGATCTCGCAATCGGTTGGTCATCAATTGGTGTGGCTTCTAAGTCTACTACCCCCTCCAACTCAGAGGGGGAGTCATCGCCAATCTTTCAAAGTTCTTTTCATACTTGTGCTGCACCTCCGGCATGAGCTTGGCTCCTGTCTTGCCGAGTCTATAGAACGGCCAACAATTTGGACACAACCCTCTCAGCCATGTCTTTCCTCTCGTACTCCTCCTGTTTTTCATCCACTCATTTTTCTAGATTGGAGAATTATTGAAGGAGTAAAGTTCCATGGTATTTAAAATCAACAATTTAGACCACAATGAAAACTTTGAAGCATCTTTTTTAAGATTTAAACATTATAGAAAACTCATAAAACATACATGGATTTGAGTTTTTGTGATTTACAGTCAAGTAAAGGCAAAGGGCCGGGCCCGTTTCTTGCTTTTTTTTTTTTTTTTAACCTTTCGGTGCGTAATTTCTCCTCAATTATTCATATGAAAGATTGACGGTAACTGCTCTTCTTTCTAGTTGGCTTCCACTTGCTTGACCTTAATTATGGAATCTCTCTTCTTTCTAGCTGGCTTCCATTTGCTTTACGTTAAATTATGGATTCATACACTTTGGGGAAAGGAGGAACATTCACCAGAGAGAGAGAGAGGCTTGTGGTAAAAAGAAAAGGGCAAGCTTAAATTATGTTAAGATTGTCTTAATCACAATGTCACTTTTATACACTATTTTATTTTTTATTTTTTTATAATTATTTTATTTTTTCTATATACAGTTTTGACATCAAATTTTGAATATCCAATCCTCTATTAAACTCGCACGGAAAATATATATATATATATATAAATATTTTCAATAAAAATGATGAAAATACTCTTGAAAGTTTTAAGGAGTATTTTGATCATTATATTTTATCGAAAAATTATTTTTAATATTTTTTATAGGTGCGCCTCAATGAGAAGATGGTACGTACCAAATTTAATATTCATACAATTTTTATTAAAAAAACTAAAAATAAAATACTTAGAAACGTCGGATCTAAGATCAAACGGTGAGTGGCTCTATTGATCAAATTTGGATGGTTGTATGGTAGGGGGAGGATAGTTCTTCCATGATGTAAGGGAAGTATAGAAACATTTCCTAAAAGAAAGGGCAAGCTTTCTATGCTTCCCTTACAGTATAAGTTATATACTTTCCCTTTATCCAACCGGCCATTTTGAATAGAGGGCTAAGATTTGCCCCAATCACAATGTCACATCTATGCACTATTTTTTTTTCTTTTCTATAAACTATTTTGACACCAAATTTTGGACATCCGATCCTCTATTAAACTTGCACTAGTCAAAAATATAAAAAAATATTTCCAATAAAATAAAATGACCAAAATACCCTTGAAAGTTTCAAGGGGTATTTTGGTCATTATATTTTATCAAAAAAAATATTTTTAATATTTTTTATAGGTGCGCCCCAATGAGAAAATGACACATACCAAATTTCATATTCATACAATTTATATAAAAAAAAACTAAAAATAAAATACTTTGAGACGTCGGGTCTAAGATCACACGGTGAGTGGCTCTATTGATTAAAATTAGACGGTTGGATGGAAGGGGGAGGATGGTTCTTCTATGGTGTAGGGAAAGTATAGAAACCTTTCGTGAAAGAAAGGGCAAGCTTTCTATGCTTCCCCTACAACATAAAACTTATATACTTCCCCTTATCTAATTGTCCATTCTGAATGGAGGGCTAAGATTGGCCCCATCACAATATCGTGTCTATGCACTATTTTATTTTTAATTTTTTTTTCTATAAACTATTTTGACGCTAAATTTTGAACGTCCAATCCTCTATTAAACTTGCACTAGAAAAAAAAATATAAAAAAATATTTTCAATAAAAATGATAAAATACCCCTGAAAGATTTAAGGGGTATTTTGGTCATTATATTTTATTGAAAATTTATTTTTAATATTTTTTATAGGTGTGCTTCAATGAGAAGATGGCACGTACCAAATTTTATATTCATATAATTTGTATAAAAAAAACTAATATTTTGAGACGTCGGACCTAAGATCAAACAGTGAATGGCTCTATTGATCAAATTGGACGGTTGGTAGGGGGAGGATAGTTCTTCTATGCTCTAGAGGAAGTATAGAAACCTTTTCTAAAAGAAAGGGCAAGCTTTCTATGCTTCCCCTACAGCATAAAACTTATATACTTCCCCTTATCCAACCGTCCATTCTGAATGGAGGCCTAAGATTGGCCCCCATCACAATGTCACGTCTATACACTATTTTATATTTATTTTTTTTCTATAACTATTTTTCCACCAAATTTTGGACGTCTAATCCTCTATTAAACTCGCACTAGCAAAAAATATAAAAAAAACATTTCCAATAAAATAAAATGACCAAAATACCTTTGAAAGTTTTAAGGTGTATTTTGGTCATTATATTTTATCAAAAAATTTTAATATTTTTTTATAGGTGTGCCCCAATGAGAAGATGGCACGTACCAAATTTTGTATTCATATAATTTGCATAAAAAAAATTAAAAATAAAATTCTTTGAGACGTTAGATCTAAGATCAAACGGTGAGTGGCTCTATTGATCAAAATTGGATGGTTAGATGGTAGGGGGAGGATAGTTCTTCTATGCTGTAGGGGAAGTATAGAAACCTTTCCTAAAAGAAAAGAAAAGCTTTCTATGCTTCCATACAACATAATACTTATATATCCCCTTATCCAACCGTCCATTCTGAATGGAGGGCTAAGATTACCCCAATCACAATGAGGAAAACATGAAGCAGGTGAAGATGAAAGTTGGCCATAAGGTTCTAGGCTATAAAATGTGGCCATAATGAGTGGCTTGGCCCTCATAGGTTCTAGGCTATAAAATGGGGCCTGAATGTCGGGCCACGACTGGGCCGATCTCCCTAATTTAATTAGTTTTTCTTTAGATTATTAGGCCGGACCTAGTACTAGGGCTGGGGCCTCTTCGGCCCGATCCAGGCGCCTTTGGCTTAGTCCAAGCTAAGTTGGGCTTGGCCCAACCCCAAATGAACCTGAGCTGGGCTTGACGTGCCTACAGTTGGCAGGCCCGGTCAATTGGTAGTGAGGAAGTCATGCATTATTAGGTAAAGAAATAGAGCCAGAAACCAATAAAGTCCATTTACCTTATTACGAGGTGGTCACAATTAATCTTGCTCATTGGATGTAAAATTGGGTGGTTACATTTATTCCATTGACCAAGCGCAAAGTTAATTTTTCTTTTTTTTGAACTTTATAACACACCTAAGCTATTAGATGACACATCATAAGGTTAGAAGTAATTGCCACCTCCTTATACCAAAAGTAAATAGTTCCATTATATACAATCCATTTTTTAAATTAGTTTAGCCATTTATTACTTTGTGAATTATTGCTGATTAGCTCAAGAGTAGTACAAAATTTTCATGGTTTTTCTTAGTAGTCACTTGACTTTTAAGAGTAGGAATTGAGAGTTTTTTTTTCCTTAAAATTGTCAGTCTTATTTATTTATCGATGAATATTCAATCTGCCTCACTAATAGGATCAGCCTCGAATAAAAATATTCCTTAATGGGACAATAAATAACGGATTTTCTAACACTCTTGCAAGAAATAAATGCCTCTGGTAAGTCCCTGCCATTAACCAATACAATTCTCCCTGTAAAACACGAAAACATTGTTGGAACTATTTCAATATGGTATTTATTTACAATTATTGTAATGGTGAAATTTGAATGAAGTACTTTTATCATACTAACATTTTAAATTATTTAGAATAAATTATTTTGGACCACTTGGGATTTTAAAAATAATTTAGATCCCTTCCTGATTGGAAATTCGGCCAAACCGGAATGCCTAGTTCCTTAACAGACTCGCTCGATTGTCTATGTAACTAAGCGAATCTATCAAAATCGGACATGTTCCCAATTCCAACTAAGAATGGGTTCAGATTCTGGATCCAGATTAGCAACCCCCAATGCAGAACTTATTAGAAATCTCTCACATATATTGACATTTAAGACAGTAGAAAAGAGTGTTTCAAAGTTGAAAGACTTTCCAATTGATCATCTCAACCTCAAGATGTATAGATATAGAAAGAAAAAAATTTGAAGTTGTAAAAGTAAGGTATCTTATAACAAGTTGTATGCTATTATCAAGAATTTTAATTGTTTCTAAAATTGTTTGATCTATATCGTTTTTGAATTTTTAAATTCTATAATTATGGTTGAACATGTATTTTCCGGTCATCATAAGGTTTTTGACACTAGAAATACATCCTATGATAAAATTTAAAGATGCACCTTACTTGTCTGGTATAAGGCGGGCACCTTATACAAACATCTCCCTTACATAAATATAGAAAAGATTAAAATAAGACCTAGGCCTTACAGAAAAATTACATAATCATCTCAAAACTCACCAAAAGTGGCAATTTTGGTGTTAGAAAACTTTCAAGTCGATCATCTCAATCTTGACCTTTATGGTTATAAAAAAACAAAATTCAAGCCCCCAAAAAAAAAAGTTATATATTATAGCACATTATATAGACCATCCATTCTCTCGTGTTCATGAAAGACCTGTACTGTTTTTTGAGCTCTAATCAGTTGTAGAAATACATTTTAGAAACATCATACCGAAGTGTTTTTCTTTTTTTTTTTCGTAAGGTGTAGGACTTATAGAAATTGGATCCTTTAAATATTGTTTGTAATGTTTATCAATCTTTGGTGCTCGACAATCAAGGTGATATTTCTCTCCAACATGGAACACAAAGGGAATAATTTTTTGAAGCTGGTAAACCTATTTTACAAGCATTTAAATATCGAAAGAGTTTACATAAGGTGTTAACCTTATAATGCAGAAGTTTTTTAGTTGGGGGCAATGGACCGCCCCATCCTCCTCAACTAGGGGTGGCAATGAGTCGGGTCCGGCTGGACCCCGAGTAGTATTCGGGTCCAGGTTTTGGAATGCGATCCGATTCGTCGGGTCCAAAAATTGGACCCATATTTGTACCCATCGGGTCCTGGGTTTATCCTGTTAGGTCCAAGGTTTGGTCGGGTCCATTGCCACCGTCACTATGAGTTTTTTTGTTGTTTTTTTTCCTTCCATTTTTTACCTTCCTATACCCATATTATTGGGAACGATTTCGATCCCTCTGATTTTTCGTTTAATAGCTAAAGATGACTACGAGTCCTTATTGGATACAGTCTTTAATACACCCAAACGAATAAGGCTTGAAGTATTATATCTCTAACATTTTACGGGGTAAGGATCGGGTACACCCGAA